TTTACAGTGGCTTAATGATCGATATTTTTCATTCCATTTGAAAAGAACCACGGACTTCATGCCGACTTTCTATAAAGATTTATCTGATTTGGTTTCGCTACATTGGTTCGTCTTCCGCTTTCATAACGTAAATGCTTCTTAGATCTTGTCTCAAAACATTTGAAGTCTGTTTGCTTGAAGTAGCTGTTTCCAAGTTTTTGCATTTTCTAATATTGGCTATAGTTTCCTTAGCTGTTACTGAAAGATAAAATTTTCGTGGTTCACGTCAATTATATGAATTTAATACTTCCACTCCATTGAATTTGTGTTTTGTTCTTCAACAACTAATATCTTGAGTTCACAAGATGATAATATTCATTTATGCGAGCTTTCATGAAAACCTAAATTTATTCACACAAGAAACTACCTTGAGGAGTCAAAACTGGAATTTTATGACTGTTTACTCGTCATCAGAATGCAGTAGTTGATATCGATTTATTAATTATTACAATTTGATCTTTCGTACCAATACTCGCTTGGAGGCCAATATCTTTATAATAAGTGAAAATAATACTTTTCAATGACACTTGATTGATATTTAACTAAACCAATTTATTAAGAACGTAAAGTTTTGTTCAATTTATAGATTATGGTAGTCAGGTAGCTCTCTCCGTCGCAGAGATTCCCGTGGAGAAGAATTGTTACTGATCAACGGAAAACTCTGCGGAGAATAGAGGTTTGGTTGTCAGAAAGTTAATTTTCAATTGTTCTAAACATCTAGAAGTTGCTGAAACGGAACACCTCAACATCAGCTTCCCGAGAAGCAAAAATGCTTCCCGGCTAGCACATTCAGAAACATTCAAGGCCGTTCCTAGACGCGATAATTAGGGAGGGGGGTGTATATTCAGATATTCATGTTCACATACCGTAAAAACAATCGCTTTCAAAAAGATATCCGTCGGGCAGAACACAAATATATAAATATCCCCCCCCCCCCTCCAATTATCGCGCTAGGAACGGCCCGGCGGGCAACATTTGATGTTCCCTATGTTTCCCGCTAACGTTTCCTAGTGTTTGCCCACTCTGGGAAACACGGCGAAACATTGGCAGGAAACAATGTTTCCGCAACAATGTTTCCTAGTTTGTCCTGGGCTTTACTATACAGGTAATTCAGAAAAGGTTCTAAACCTTAAACTCTAAGCGTGCGAAGCATAATGGGAGCATCATTTAATCATTGCTGCCGAAGGCAGCATACTAATCTTCACGGTGTTACTGTAGCGCCCAGTTTCTTTGACCGAGTTATAATTATTGGACGTGAAATCTCGATTTTGATCTTATTGAGGGGGTCAAGGGGGGGGGGGATCATTTCGGAAATATTCATCGTACGTTACGTCACAGCACACGACCAGTCGACCACGTTGGGCTGTATTTCTGCCTTCATTGGGCTGTATTTGTGCCTCATCGGGCCGTATTTGTGCCTCATCCGGTTGTACTTGTGCCTCATTGGGCTGTATTTGTGCCTGGCATTGGGCTGAATTTGTGCCTCATTGGGCTGAATTTGTGCCTCGATGGGCTGAATTTGTGCCTTTTTGAATATTGAGCTGTATTTGTGCCTCATTGGGAAGTATTTGTGCCTCGTTGGGAGTATTTGTGCCTCATTGGGTGTATTTGTGCCTCAGTGACATTGGGCTGTATGTGTGCCTGAAAATCATTCGACCATTAGACAACAGTCGGTAATTCATCGATTGACATATTCTCTCACGTGCAATCAGACCATTTTCAAAATGCATTTCGATACATCTCCTTGCAATAAAACACTGTCTATT